GAATACATATGTATTACACTGCATGAATGAATGAATGTAACTCTGTAGTTGTGTGTGTGCGATTTTTTAAATAGATCACTGGGATATGTAACAGTAACAAAAATTATGTTGACTCACACCCCACACACACTATTGGACAGCTGAGTGTGATGTCTGTGTGATGAAAACGGGTTATTTGTTTGATACAAATAATGAAAAAAATAAATAAAACACAAGTGAGCGAATTATTACAACAGATGTTCTGTTATTCGTATGAACTGAATATGGGGAGGGGAATTATTTATAATATTACATAAATATATATTTTATTAAAATAGAAACTGTTCCGATTTAATAAAATTGCATATGTAGTTTGGACAACTGAAAAAATGGTATTTACTGAAGAACAGAAAATGCGGAAGAGAAGAGATTTTTACAGGAAGAATAGAAGAGCTAAAAGATAAACTATTCTGAACCAGAAGTGTTCGAAATTTCTTAAAAACAATAAAAAATAAAATCCACCACGCAACAATGATACCGCTGACTTTATATTCTCATCTCCAAACTTATTTCGGTTGAAGGCATTATCTACCAAACTATTTATTTGTAACCGATATATACACAGGAACAGGTGTAAAGTCACTGACAAGGAGTTCTACTTAATCAAGAAGAACTCCAAGTAAATTTCACGAAAAATTATACAAATAGGATCATCGATGACGATCGTAAAAAGCCCATGTCGGCCTCTTACAATAGAACAAATATCATAGAGAAATATGCACCATATTGATGACAGAGGAAAATAAATAACACCAAACCATCGGGGGAGTCTATGGATGACAATAGGTCTTTGAAATCATCAACCAGTGTTAAAATAGTAAGAATATGTCCAGATATTTCAAAAAAAATGCTGGTAAAAAGTCATTTAGGAAGGCGATAATGATTCAACGTCCTTCTGTTAATCCAATGACCTAGGATAACTCATCAGATGTTTGAGCTTTAAATCTGAGAAGACTAAATACTGCTAGGCAATTCTACGTCGCCATAGTGAGAGGGAAGCATTCGAAATTATCACTTCTGTCACTAGCAAATGCTGCCTTGTGTTCGGTCCGCCCTCCTCGTAGTAGCAGTGACCAGTTGAGAAGTGGTAAACACCGTTGCTAACATTCCAGCAATTTGCGCCAAATGCTTCGGAGGAGGGCAACCAACGACATACACAATTTGAAGTATCGATTTCGAGGGCTTCAGCCACCCTGGGGACTATACCTCTGTAACAAGTGGCGGAGAGATCAATGCCGCTGCTTATTTCTCAAACAATTTCCTTCGAATGTTTCGGTTGTGTCGGAGGAGAGAAACCAACGACATATCGATCATTTGCTTCAAGATAGGTATAAATAAAAATCGTGATTGTTGAGTTAATGATACTGAATTGTTCGTTATATCAGACTTCACGTTGTGCAAAAAAAAAAAAAATAATATATCTTACACATTTGTAAGATGTGAGACAACTAAAAACATAAAACACATTTTCTGCAAATTTGATTTTTTTATTTATGCCGGTCTTGCCACAAATGTGCGATGTAATAAGTCAACCCCAGGACAAAAGTCATGAAAGGGAATCTACTACTAAGAAATTCAAAATCGGCAATTAACGCGGCAAATTCGATGTAGGACGTGTTCTAGTCTTCAGTGCAAATTTCGGAGGCTTATGTTAATCTAAGGAACTAATAATTATACAGGAGAAACAACTAATCAGGAAGAGGTCAACACCATTACTTTTTGCGCTGTAAACTGCATTGTACGCTTCAAAGGAGGATTCTGTCATCAGTTATTAGGGGAAGAAAAATCCATTTTGCAGGGATCCCTGAAATCGAAAACGATGCAGATGGATTCAGGTACTTATACAGAAAACCCACATGACCGATAAGAAACATTTATTAAAACAGCTGAGCCCGATTGATGTATCATCAATGCTTATTGGCTGTCTTCTAAAGAATCTTGCAAGTTTCTCGAAGTAAGAATGTGTTGTCGCCAATTTTGGCGTCCGGCAGGTAAAACAATCTTAAGGAGGAGTAATAGAGTTCTATGGTTTAAGAAAAAATACAGTTTTGGTAACAAGGGCAAATCCGTGTTCCTCAACAAACGGAATTCCGAAGCTCTCATTGTGGACTAATTTTTCTCCAAGCTGCAGTAATTATTCGTGAAGAGGTTCACACCATTGTCTGCAATGCAATCCTACCTAGATACCAATTTTATATCATTAAATAAATTTAGTCCCACCAAATGCATAGCAGAACCTTCCTGGCCGTTAGTTCTGGTTTGGCCACCGCACAGGGTTATCGTATGCGATCCATTTCTCATCTCCAGTCGACATCCGTTTAAGAAATGGGTCTATCTCATTCCGTTTGGCCAAGGATTCGCAGATGCAAATTCGATCCATCCTATTTTTTTTTCAGTTACATCGTCAACATCTGTTACATCGAAACATCAAGCTTATTTTTGAATCCCGCTTTGTGTTAATGGTTTAAAACAGTTTTATGGGAGATGTTACAACTGCTAACATACAGGTCAATTTCTATCATTTCTCCGATTTTATCGACGTTTTCGACGACCGACCTGATGGATTTATTTTCCCCCAACCTTATATATGAGAGCTTTAAGAGAACTTGACTTGAAATATGGCCTGTAGCCAAATGGCAGCACTTCTATGAAGTTACCTTTAAAATGGCAACAAATCGGACATTCCGAAGCATCTTAAATAAAGTCCTATAGTTCAAAAAAAAATAATGGATTTATTTTTATATGAACCCAACGTTATATATGTTCGTCCGATTTTTATAAATAATATACAGAAGACACCACGGTATTCCGAACATAGGTCTTACATTTTGTATAACACTACTTGTATATACTTAATGTGGCGTCTGACTCTAGGCCTTACCTTGCTGGTTTTTTTCTTGAAATATCTAGCAATTCCGCAGCTTATAACCCAACCTATGTGGAGAAGAGCTACTTTTCTATGCATAGAAATTAACAAATCTTTCCTTCATTCTTATATTTGAGACTTGGACATTTCTGCCCGAAAAATGCATTGTTTTCCTGTCCAAAACCCGCCATAAAATACTTACACACATTCTGCTGAACACTGTACCATACAAGATAATGAATATCCTCATGATGTTAACTGGGAGGGACATTATGTGAAAAAGGGGTGCACCCCTACAAATGAGAATGTAACAAAATACATGTATACACATTCATACTCATTTATAGCATCAGAACATTTGCAAATACTTTATTAGGAATCCCAAGGATCCAAGGGTTATGGCCGGGCGGCTATTCTTCTTCTTTTGTCTTTACAAAGCAAAAGACGGCGAAGAAGAACATCTACTGCGTTTTCGCTTTATGAGAAATGAAAGCATGTCACTTTATGACATAATGGTAGATGATGCTACAACAATGCCAAAAAACAAAAGGAGAAACCGAAATGCAAGACACCACTTCGTTGGCCTTTGCCACTGTTAAGATGGTGATACGCATTCTTTAATGGTGGGCTTTGTGATGATGACGATGGTAGTGATGAGGATGGTGATGATAATGCGCCAAGAAAGCAAAGCATATCAGACGGCACACAAAAAATACAAAGACGAAGTAGCAAAAAAAATTAAGAATCATTAAACATTTTTATTGCCATGGTCATGGTCATGGGAATCATGATCCAGAAAAGGCCAGAATTTTACTACTACTGACTGGTTACGAATGATGGGTATCCTTAAGACATATCAACAAGCAAAGGATTTTCTTTTATTATTATTATATGTCTGATTCTCTTAAACGTTCGCCATGTAAGATACGGCAGACAGGTGCGTGTGTGTATGTGTGTGTGCTAGAATGTCCTTTTAAGTAGTTTTTTTCAGTTTTATGTTTCTTCGTCTTTCATTTTTGATTATCAACTTACCTCCTTTAACTTGACAGCATAAAAACATTTCATAACCCTCACGAAATGGTCCTGCCTGGGCAATTTCATTACCTTGGGCATCAAATATGCGAGGCTCTTCTGGAGGAACTATAAAACAGAAACAGAAAAAACAACAACAAACTATGAAACAAAGAAGTCGTACGGTGGAAAAAACAAGCGTATAAATATTATTATGGTCATATGAAAGTTAAAAGCATGGAACGCAAAGTTATACATAAATTTCGCCACGTGATTTTGTAGTTCGGAATAAACAACCTGCACACCACAACAGAGGATAACAACAACAGCATCTGGAGTGGCAGCGACAGCACCGAGGCTTCAGATGGAAGACAAAACGGAACGTGAGCTGCATTCAGAAATATTCATTAGGTCCATGGATAGAAGGTAGAAGGTAACCCATATATGCAGATGTATGGGTGAGTGTATGAGTGTGTTTGGTGGGTACCTCAACGGTATGCCTGAACGGATATGAATGTGGTGGTGGTGGTGGTGGTGGTGGTGGTGGTAGTGGTACTGCCATCACTCGTCCATGTGCGTAATCACATTTCCCTTATCCACGTATCACACGAACCAAACTTGGCCAGAAAAACACTCCACAAACACAACACACCGACAAACACACACATTCAAACGAATATACACCATGAGACACCATCAAGGTATGTTGCGAAATAGTTTGTTGAACGTATGGCTGCCATACCACCGTGCCGCCATGTCAAACTTTATCGCGTTGCGGATAATGGAAAAAGCGTAAAAACTCAATGTTGTCCAACCGGGAAAACGAATGAATGGTGCATGGGCAAAAGTTTTTCCCCAGCAACCAACCGACCGACCGACAAACTTTTGCCCGTGAAACGTGATAGTGAAAAGTGTCTCTTCTAATTTTTGCCAATGTTTACTTTTTGAAAACGTAAATATCAATGTGGATAAACAAACAAGAAGACACACACACGCACGTACACCTACTCACATCACAGGAAGGTGTCACTATCACACAGATAGTATGTGTGTTCATGTATATTTTCCATTTGTACGCCACAACGCATTTTTATCACAGTGGGTGGTGTAATATATTTTTTTATTTTGGTGTTCGTTAACCACACGGCAAGGGTATCTGGCGCTAAGCGTGGGAATTTTTGTTTAAAGTTTATTTTAGGCAGGAATCATATGTGTTGGACATTTCCATTAAAGAAGAGGGGGTTTTAATGTGTTGAAATATAAATCTGGTTATGTGGATGTGCAATATACATATACATATACAAACATAAAGAGATGATGCGGTTTATTTGCTTTTAATTCAGTTTCACCTATATTAAGCGATTTTTGAAATTAACAAAAAAAAATGGCCGATTTGTCCATCGGCTAAAAAAGAATAAAACCCTGCTTTAGGTTCTCTATAGGTTTCTTATAAAACTTCTTCTCGAGAAAGAAACGTTCTTTTCCAAAACTACTCATTGGTATATTAAAAACTATATTTTTTTAAAAAAAATCCACGCATTATGGGTATATTAAACAAAATATTTTTTAAAACAGTGAGCGGAGCAGTATAGTAGAACGGGACCGACCATATGATACCCTACACAACTTCCACGAAAATCTAACTTTCTGTGGTAATACATTCCGAACTTGGACAATATTTCGCGATATTTGCATCCTCTTGAACGACTAGAGGTCAAAAAATATTACTAAAATTCAGTACAGCCCTTCTAATTACTTGTTCCGATTCCCTTCGCCGTGGGTTGTGTTGATATGTGTTGATATTTCGGTCCACTTCATGCCAATATTGTTATCACCGAAAATTATACGCGTTGTTCTTGACCGTAGCAGGATCCACATAGAATCAGTGCTAGAATACAAAATTTGTCATTTTTCACACAAAAGTCAGGGTCCATTAGACCCACTAAATATTGACCCATCTTTATCAAAACCGTTATGCTTATTCTCCGACCCGATGCCCTTCTCCATGTAAAAATTCGCGATGTTTGGTCCATAATTGCGGCGTCTGGAGCGACAAGAAAATTAGACAAAAATAAAGTTTTTGGTCCATTTCATCCCCTAAATATTAACCGATCTGTGCCTAAAACAATAGGGGTCTTCATTGGCCAGAACACATCCTACATGCAAAATTTCGTGACGATTGGTCCACAACTGTAGCCTCTATCGTGTTTATAAATTATAATGGACAGACGGACGGACACATATCCCTAAATCAACTCAGCTAGTCGAGATATGATGATCGGTATACTTAAAGGTAAAGGTCTAAGACCAATATTTCGCGGCGTTAAAAAAATCCACGCATTATGGGTATATTAAAAAAATGACGCTTCTGTTAGTCCTACTACGCTTCTGTTAGTCCTTTAAAAAAACTACGCTTCTGTAAGTCCTTTAAAAAACTAAGCTTATGGAAGTCCTTAAAAAAATTTCGCTTCAAGCACTGTTTCTGGCCTTAAAAAATATTCTTTAAAAGTCCACACCATGTTTTTGGCCTTGATAACAATATTCTGCAAAATCCGCACCCTGTTTTATGGCCTAAACAAATGCTCTTTAAAAAACTACTTTTTAAGCCTTGAAGAAATATTCTTAAAATGTACACGCCTTCTAATATTCCTTAAAAAATATTTTTTAAAAAACCACGCCTTCTAATATTCCATAAAAAAATTCTGTATAAAAATCCACACGTTCTTTCAAAAAATATTCTTTAAAATTCCAAGCCTTCTATTAGTCCTTGAAAAAATATTGTTTAAAAAAATGCACGCCTTTTTATAGTCCCTGAAAAGATATTCTTTAAAAAATCAACGGCTTCTAATAGCCCATGAAAATTATTCATATCTTCGCCTTCTAATATCGACCACTTCTAATAGTCCTTCAAAAAATATATTCTTTAAAAATCCACGCCTTCTAATAGCCCATGAAAATTATTCATATCTTCGCCTTCTAATATCGACCACTTCTAATAGTCCTTCAAAAAATATATTCTTTAAAAATCCACAACTTCTAATAGTCCTTGAAAATATATTCTTTAAAAGTCCATACCTTTTTTAAAAATGTTTCCTATAGAAAAAATCGACGCCTCATTTATTTAGGCATTTTTTCTTTTGGAAAAAATCGAAGAATTTTTTTCTATATAAAAAAATAGATGTCTCAGCTAAAGAGGCATTTTTTCTATAGAACAAATCGTAGCCTCAGTTAATTATGCAATTTTTCAACAGAAAAAAATCGTAGTCTTAGTTAATTAGACATTTTTTCTATAGAAAAAATCGAACTTGAGAATATTTTACAATGGGCATACCTTAACCACTGTCTTCCACCTCTAATCACCTGAACTTGATTACCAACTCACACACATCATCAGCATATGTTATGGTATGCGTATGAATAACACACGCACGCATTATACGATTTTCTTTAATGCTGCTGCCGCTGTTGTTGTTATTTTTATTAAAACAAAAAAAAACGTCCTACGTTCTCTCTGCCTTGACGATGTAAAGTTTTATGTAGTTGTTTACGCTTTCTGTGTATTATCATCACTACTTACCAACCAATGTTAAATTAATTCTATAGTTACGCGTTGGAAAATTGAAATAATCTATTCTACAGCGGTAGACACCACCATCCGTTGGTTTAACATCGCGTATCTGGAGACGTGAGTCCTTGGGATTATCACCAATGGAGAAGAATAAACGTTGACCCAAATCGCTAGCTATGGCTGAAAGGGTGGCCAATTTTACATTTCCGCCGCGTGAGTCCAAACTGCAAGAAAGAAGAAGAAGAATGGAAAACAAAAAGGAGAATAAGTCAATGCTTAAACCAAAAAAAAAAAAAACCAGTTAGTAATTATCTTTAATGTTACAGCATATAAGGAAAGCGAGCAAGGTTATGATGAATGGGGTCATATGGAATCGTAGTCATTTGATGATTTATGGAAGGATTTAATTGCAGTTTTTTGCCAAAATTTCGTAGCGAGGTCGACTATTACGTTCCTCCATATTCGTTTTATGTAGGTTTTACTGTGATTCTCTTTATTTATTTCTTCTCTGTAGTTATAATCACTAAGCATACAATTTATTGTTTTAAAAGCATAATAATAAAGTACCTTATACGGCTCTAAAACACCAACAATAACAGGAACAACCATGCCACCGCGAAGAAGAAGTGCGGATTTTAATTTATGGTCGTTAAAATATTAACAACTTTAGAAAAAAAGCATAAATATTATTATGAGTGTGCGAGGAGAATAAGGTGATAATAAACGATGAAGTATTATAAACAAACAACAACAAAACAGAGTCCTTGAGAATTAAGAACAACAACAACATGTGTTATTGATTGTTAAGGAGGAAAGTTGATATAATAAAAAAAATATTGAAATGGTTGTTGTCCTTATAAGAGGAAATTAAAATTAAATGAAACCAGTGAGCGGAGCAGTATAGTCGGACGGGGCCGACCATACGATACCCTACACAAATACCACGGAACTCTAACTTTCTGCAGATGTTTATTCCGAGCATGGGCAATATTTCGTAATATTGGCACCCTCTTTCAACTCTTTCAACTGCAACCCTTTACCGTAAGTTGTGCTGTGATGTTCCGCTTATAATTATGGCCTATAGAACGACTAGAAAAAAACACACACACAAAAAAAGTATGTTTTCCGTCCACTTCATCCCAAAATTATTATCTGATAATCATCGAAAATTATAGGCGTTGCCTTGACCACAACTGGAATCTCATGGAAAATTTCAAAGCGATCAGCTCTATATATTTCCGCCCTCTATTGTGGTAATGGGTTACTAAATAATATCTCAGTACATAAGTTCCTGTAAATATTTAAGTGTAACTCCCACATCTGAGTACATACGTATCATACATATTGGTATCAATTTAACTTCTAGGGCCTATGCCCTTCAGGGTATATACGCCATAGAATGAAAATGTTGTAATTTTTCACACAAACAAATCTTTATCAAAATAGGCAAGCTTATTCTTAAGCCCGATCCCGTTCTCCATACCAAATCGCGGTCTCTGGAGCGACCAGAAAAACGGACAAAAAATAAGTATTAGGTCCATTTCATCCCCTAAATATTAACCGATCTTTAACAAAAACAATAGGGGTCTTCATTAGCCAGGACCCATCTTACATGCAAAATTTCGTGAAGGTTGTTCCATAACTGTAGCCTGTATGGTGTTTACAAATTATAATGGATGGACGGACGGACGGACACATGTCTAGATCGACGCAGCTAGTCAAGATATGGTTGACAAACTTAAAGTTCGGTCTAGGATCAATAGTTCGCGGCGTTACAAACTCTCGGGGCTGCACAAAGCTATAATACCCGGACAACATAGTTGGGTAGGGTATAACAATTATGATCTTAGGGTGGTTTAAAAAACAAATTAAAGAATCAGACGCTTTTAATCTGGAATAAATCAGAAACTGAGAAATTCTTGTACAGGCCTTGAAAAAATATTCTTAAAAAAATCCACTCCTTTTAGGCCTTGAAAAAAAAATTCTTAAAAAAATCCACGCCTTTTAGGCCTTGAAAAAAATATTCTTAAAAAAATCCACTCCTTTTAGGCCTTGAAAAAAATATTCTTAAAAAAATCCACTCCTTTTAGGCCTTGAAAAAAATATTCTTAAAAAAATCCACGCCTTTTAGGCCTTGAAAAAAATATTCTTAAAAAATTCCACGCTTTTTAGGCCTTGAAAAAAATATTCTTAAAAAAATCCACGCCTTTTAGGCCTTGAAAAAAATGTTCTTAAAAAATCCACGCCTTTTAGGCCTTGAAAGAAATATTCTTAAAAAAATCCACGACTTTTAGGTCTTGAAAAAAATATTCTTAAAAAAATCCACACCTTTTAGGCCTTGAAAAAAATATTCTTAAAAAAATCCACGTCTTTTAGGCCTTGAAAAAAATATTCTTTAAAAAATCCACGCCCTGTTTTAGGCCTTGAAATAAAAATATTCATTAAAAACTCCACGCCTCTTATAGGCCTTGAAAAAATATTCTTTAAAAAATCCACGCCCTGTTTTAGGCCTTGAAAAAATATTCTTTAAAAAATCCACGCCCTGTTTTAGGCCTTGAAAAAATACTCTTTAAAAAATCCACGCCTTGTTTTAGGCCTTTTCAAAAATATTCTTTAAAAAATCCACGTCTTGTTTTAGGCCTTTTCAAAAATATTCTTTAAAAAATCCACGTCTTGTTTTAGGCCTTGAAAAAATATTCTTTAAAAAATCCACGCCTTGTTTTAGGCCTTGAAAAATATTCTTTAAAAAATCAACACCTCCCTTTAGGCCTTGAAAAAATATTCTTTAAAAAATCAACACCTCCCTTTAGGCCTTGAAAAAATATTCTTTAAAAAATCAACACCTCCCTTTAGGCATTGAAAAAATATTCTTTAAAAAATCCACGCCTCGTTTTAGGTTTTAAAAAATATTCCTTAAAAAACCCATGCCTTTCTAGGCCTCAGTTAACACTAGAAAGACGGGAATTTTGTATATACCTATATTGCCTAAAATCGGTCAAAATGACCTCATACTGAAAGAATTTTTATTGTGTAAAGAAATTTTTTTAAACTAATTTTTTAATATTTTTTACATTATTTACAATCATACAAAACCTTGCTATTATTTGTTTTCGGTGGTAGGGCTCTCGAGTTTCCCCTTTTGAAAAATAAGAGCGCGGACAAAATGTTCGAAAAAGAGGAAGTCTTTACTATAAGAGTGAAATCGAATGGAAATATAAAATTTATTTTTCCCAATTTGTATGTTCGTTTGTGTTTCTAGAGTAGCAAACGGGTTTCGATGTTGTTGTACTGATCTTGTCATATAAGAAATTTACTTTATACAATAATAAAAGTAGTTTGATTATTTAATATATCACAAAAGGTCAAAATGACCGCTTTTAGGCAATATAGGTATAGCACATGTGAATACGGGGAATGGAAGAGGGGAGGAAGCAGCTACTATGATTAATAAATGTAGTTCTATGTGGTACAAAAAGTCACCAAATTTAAAAAAGCTGGGTCATAATATACACAATTGTTTTTGTACTTGAAATTGAAAAACGGTCAAAATGACTGCCTTCGGCAATGTAGTGTTAATGATGTAGCTTTCCTATAAAATTAAAGTTAGGCCTCAGTAATAAATTTGAGTCCACCAGAGGTTTTTTTCAATATATGAATTTGTTTCTTTATAAATATTTAAAAATAGTTTTTGTTTGTCCTTCTCTGTATTTCTCTCAAGGGCTCTCTGGGGCATACACTTTGCTCGCCATAATTTAATATCAATTTACACATACACATAAATAAAACTGCAATCAATTCCCAGCGTTTTTCTTTATCAAATTTAATATTTTTCACCTCCCCATAATTATTGTGAATAGAAATATATATAGGTGTTTTCTCCACAAATTAAATGTTCTCCATTTATATTTAAATTTCATTTGTTTCCATTTTTTCTGCTTAATTCCATTAATTACAACTTTAAACTGCAATTACTTTTCCCCATGAAACTAAACAATTATTGTGGTATACACAGCATTTAATAATTACCATTTCCATTTCCCAACATGTAAATACTATTTCAAAATTATATGGTTGTATATGTGTGTTGCTTTTAATCATTTCAAATACCCTTACTTACTGCCACCTAGTCGCTGTTTTTGTTTTTCTTTTTTTATTATTTACTATGAATTTGTTTAAAATGTTAAGTGGAAAAAATGATACTAATTATAAATTCAAGTAGAATTTAAACAAGAACACAGTATTTACTATTCACAATGGGAAAACTAGCAAATGAAGTGATTTTTTCTGGGAAAAAGGGAAAATAAACAAGAACTACAAAAGTAAAGGGAACTAATAATTTCTTGAAATAGTTATGAAGACTTCCTCACAAAAAAATAATAATTTAAACAACTTGGTAAGTAAATTTGTATTAAATAAATGTTGCCATTAAAATTAGTAGCATTTAAAAAGATTGTTCGAATGTTACTAAATATGTTAGTTCCCAACGCCTTAGGTTTATCCAGTCAGAGTTTTGAGCGCTCTTTTTATAGTCACTGATGCTTCTGATTACTGCCCCAAATATTTTATTTTGGGATCAGATCATAGGGGATTAATATGATCCGGCCATGGGGTGAAAAGTTTCTCTGGAAACTTCTTGGCTCATATTTTCATATACAAATTGTACAAATGATAACGATAAAAAGGGCATGAAGGCACAATAGGGCGTGTATACGTGGTCGTATAAAGGTTATGATTAGTTGACATACTAAAGGTTTTCTTTCAAAAATGGGAGTTTTGTTTGATTGACCTAATCCTACACTCATAGAATAAAAAAACAACTCTACTTCAGGCTCAAAGTCCATACATAAACTGGGTCTCAATTTGATGTCCAGTCTTTGCAATCGGGATGTGTATCTTCTGGACATTTCAGCAATTCTTTGGAGTATCCTATAATTTTCTCCTCAAGCGGAAACTTGAGACTTGGCCGATTGGTCTTATCGTTCCTTATCGAAGAACTGCTTTTTCCAAATTGAAGGTGATTCAAATATCTATTTGCTTCGAAAGTCCGTCGTTCACTGGCATCGATTGATTGTCATTTAGTTAAATCTTCTCATCAAATGCTAACCCTTTCTTTTAGTTACTCTGCCCTGGGCCAGTCCAAAGTATACCATTTCTATTCCCTCAACCTTAAGACTAATTAAATTATATAATCTTTGAAATGATCATTGGGACTCATCTAAATATC